TGATATGCCGCTTTCAAAGAATACTTCCCAACCAAAATCTTGCAAATCAGTAGGTCTATAGGGTCTTTTTGCAAACCGCTTTATTTACAGTACGATTCGCTCTGATTGGTTATAAAGGGTCTAATTGGTCTAGCCACTCTTTCCACTGCCGTTTTAGGCCTAGCCCAAATAAATAGATGGATCAAAAGTTTTTCTAGTATCAGTTTTTTTCAATTCAAAAATTTCATTGGCTAAACTATGCCTTTATCAGTCTCCTTGGAATTACATACAGAAGGGACACTGATCAGCTCAGTCTTTGTTCTCAAAATTATCACCTCTTTTTTTACCCTCAATTTCCTTTATGTAATTAGATCCTCATTTGTAGGGCGTTAGAATTTCCGGTATTAATATCTTTCTTTGCTAATCGTCCCTTACGGTCTTACACCCAAATAACTCCAACTTGTCTCAGTCTCAAGTCATGTCCCCCTCTGTACTCCAGAACCTATTCGACAGCTCGACTGCCGGAGCAAGCCATCAATGTCTATGTGGCCTCGCAAAGCGGATAGGTTTCCAGCAACGTGCTGTGGACGGCTTCACAATGGAAGGGTGCCTTTTGGCTTTTGCTTCTCCCCGAATTTTCTCCCGCCCTGGGAGACCAGATCAGATAAGGATGCTCTGCGAATCTCGGAACAATCGTCTTGATGTTTCGGGGGTCTCTTCCCCGGATATTTCAACTTCCAAGTTCAATTCAACCGCAATGGCTCATGTTACTGCTGCTGATGCCTCTTCCCTTCAGGTCAGCAGGTTTTCTCCATTATATATGAAGTAAACCCCATATCTACTGAGTAAGGATTTGTTGACTAATCGGATAGTTTACTCGTGATTTTTCTTATCAAGGCTACGCGAGCAATTTATCTCATTTGTTGACTTTTCTTCTATTTTCTTGGATTAATTTATTTATCTTTAGATCAACGTTATCACTTCGCTGTCCACTGGGCTTTCCAAGGCTGGATTCATTCTGCATGCCATGAGAGTAGCAATATGTCGATAACTCACAAAAAAGATAGAATATATATTAAAATTCGCTCTCAGCCAATTATTTTGAATTTTTGGGCCTAAATACCAAGCTTACTTTGTTTTTAAACGAGATTTCTTGATAGTTTTACCGTTATATCACTATGTCTCCGACACTTCCACCATAGCTATTCAAAAGATTAGTTTACTTATAAAAAGGAGAGTTTCAAAATTATTTTCTTCGTTTTGGAACTAATTTGCCTCTCGGATTTACACTATACAAGTAATCCTATATTGTCTCAACCTACAAAATCTTGTGGTATCAAATTTGTGATAAATCATTCCTTCCCATATATAGTTTAGAAGGGCCAATATTAACACTAAAGCAGATTTTATTTTGCATTTAGCTATTTACGACGATCATATTACTTATATTGATGCTGGGGTACTTTTCATCTCGTTTGAAGATGCGAATGGAAGGGATTCGTAAGTTGGTTCCACTGGAGGCTGTGGGGGATTGCCTTAGAGTTGTTGTCGTAGATTTGTACGAATAGGTCCTCGGCGCACCGCCTTGCGACAACGATGAATCCTTGGTGAGCTTTCGTCCGTCATGTGATGGACATCGTTATAGCAGGACAGCATGTTCTATGATAATTCACCAAAAACATGAAGACAGGCAAGGTGGCCGGTTTTAAACTTACCCCCTTCCTATAGTCTAATTTGGTCCACTTTGGCATCTCGTGTTTTGGTTGGATGTCCTATGCTTTGCTTCTGTTTGCTCATAAGTTAACTTAAGTGGTTGCAGATGACATGTGAAGTGGATGCAGATGAGGCGTGAAACGAGTGCAATTGAAACCGAACTGCTGCATCTTCCCCTAAAACACTTATGCCTTTAATCTGGCAATTTTACCTCAAGTGATTGCGTCCGATTGCACTCGTGTCGTGCGAGTGCATTGCTCTTGAAATGATCGTGAATACCAGATTCAAGCCCAACTAAGAGTCCTCTTACTCGGTGGTACTTCTCGTTCCCCTCTCACTCTTTAAACCTATCCAATAGCCACAATTAGTTTGCGCTTAACTTCCTACACTCATTCTTTCTATTCAAGGTGTTGGTTGTTTTGTTGATTTTTATCGCCTAATCTTTCGCTTGCTGGTATAGTCTCCATATCCAGCTAAGAATTTTGCATTTAACCAATCTATCTGGTGTCTTGTGCGACCCATGTGTTCGGTCAATTCCGATTTTTGGGCCCATATACCCATACAGGCTGTTTTATGTTCGGATAACCTCTTATGTATGGGCCTACAGTTCTCTCCCACATAGGCACTATCACATGAACTCAAAATCTTGTAACAGCCCGATCTGGAGAGGTGATCAGACTATTCAATCCGTGCTCATTAAAATCTCCGCATGTTGATCTAGTGTGGATTACAGGGCCTGTATGACATCATCTGGAGGTATGTTAGTGCACGCAGACTCAACATCAAAACTTACTAGCAAGTCCCCACTTCCTATCTTGACTGAAACCTTCCACGTCTCGGAGATTTGCTTTAATTGGTTCACAGCCTTGCTTTCCTAAAAGATGTTCTTATCCAGGGTGGACTGCAGTTTTACCTTGTTCAGGTCTTATCAGTACCCCTAGCAAGATTCGAACCATGATACTACAGTGTGCAA